CTACAACATGACGGGCACGCCCCCCATTTTGTAGACTAGGAACAGACGCAGTAGTCAGGGGTCATTTGGTAGACACGAGTGTTGAGTAGTCAGGGGTCATTTTGTAGAGTCATGTTGGTACAACCGGGTCATTTTGTAGACCAGGGTCGTCTACAGCTTCTGACTTCAAGGCCCTCATTTTGTAGAGAACTGTTTGTTACACCAGAAATATTAAAAAAAATACAAATTCTCTACATACTGACGTTGGGGGACGTTGGCCCATCATTGTATAAAGAGGTTGAGCCCAATTTTGGGGAGAGTCGACGCGGGTGTTTTCTACAAAAATGAGGGACTCCCCCCTTTGATTCCAAGGGGGGATACATCAGAACATCTGGTGATAAGCACATAGAAGAATTCCACCGACGATGAATATCTAAGCCCTTCACACGTCCACATCTCCAGGCCGCTCTGGTCTGGGGTTGATTCAGCAGGAAAAGGCTTGGGGAAGAATGTGTCCCCTACACTGCATATCCCTAGGGCTCCAGTCGTACCTCCCCAGGTACGGTATGTCTGGACCCTCCTGGCACCCACCCCAGTCCCACCTTCGAAACGAAGGTCTGACTTGAGCCCTAGGGTATGGCGATCATCATCGGGTGGATCTGGGGGGTCCATGGTACGAAGGATCATGTTCCAGTCCGGAGTGTTTGGGTTTTGTTGGCCAATCTTCGAACCAACTGCAACTGGTCTTTTTGGTACAACAATACCGCGCCTTGTTTGCACCTGGGCATCCGGTACTCTCCGGGTACTTTGCGGCCCCTCCGGCCGTGAAGAAACACCCTCGGGGACCCGGCGAAACACGTGACTCTTCAGGCGATGCGCAAGGCACGGGACTCAGGGGGCGGGTCTAGAGCGCTGGGGTGGTGTTTTTTTTTTTCTGCCATGGGGTGCAATGGATTGAAGGTGGATGGATTTTTGGTTCTGATCTCCATGTGGGCGTGTATTTTAATAGAGAGGGACCTCCAAGCTGGCTTTTTGGGTGGTTTTGGTCCGTGTCCCGTCTCCTGGCTGGGTTCCTAGCCAGCCCACGATGCGTGATATCCAGACGTCCGAAGGTCTCCCGGTCCATGAAGGTCTTCTAACAACAACAACAACAACAACAACAACAAGTCATCAACCAAATCGACGTATCCCTTTGTAATGACAGGTGGGTTTAGGCACAGGAGACCCTTGGTTTTGAAGCACCTCCAGGTTTTGCATGAGACAAAACCAGGATCCATGAGGTCAGTGTTCCCGACTTCTAGGGGGCTGATTTCACGAACACCACCGAGTCTGCAAACGCTTTCCAGAGATGCCGATGAAAATGGACCATGACCCCCCCCCAGCAAAAACACCACCCTGCTCCACCCTGCTCGAGTAGTGGCAAGATGGCGGTCACATGGAGTCTGACTGGGTTTCGGAAGCCCTGGCAGTCCTGCATCAAAAGAGTTTGCTGAGACCATATAGGTGATCCGTTTCTTCAGGAATGTCCGTTTCTTCAGTGGCGTGTAACTATCCCAGACAATCCAAGTTTTACCTAGTTTTTACCTACATGGACCCCTTTTCAGCCACTTCAATGTAGACACATGTTCTATACGTGGAGTGTTTGGGTATATAAGTCGATGACAATATATTTGACGGGAAAGGGAAAGGGACATGTTTGATTGCATCCGTCAACGCCATGGCAGTTGGTCAAGTGGAGTGGTCCAAACCCAAACCCCGACGTCCTTCGATCGAGCGGGACGGCGTGAAAACACGCCCAAAACAAAAGCAGCTACGACTGCGGTGCCCATTGAACCTGCGGTACGAACTGAGACTCCAGGTAGTTGTAGTGCCGCAAACCACCTGACCAATGCTGCTCTTTGCTCTCTGCCGCCAATGTCCAGACGCGAGAAGGGATCGTGGTGGTGCCATTTTGTATGGCCTACATGAGATTCTCACCCAAAACCACCATTGGATTTCTCTCCCAAAACCACCAGTCATGGACCCAGACCATCCATGGGATTGGCATGTTTTCCTATACATTGGGGTGGTTGAAGTACGGGGTGAATGGCGCGGCATGTATAGGCTGCCAGTCCCAGACAGCTTGTGTCTGGTTTTTTTGGGCCATAGGTCTAGGTGAATGGCGTAGGACTGTCGTGGGTAGGCCAGGACTGCAGAGTGCTCAGGAGAAACTCTGGCAGTGCCAGGATCATTACTGATCCAGCTAAGCTGCTATGCATGGGGACTGTAGAGCCCCATGGGTCATCTTCGTTCAATGGAAACATACCACGGAGTTCCAGTCCCATGGAGTGTTGGGGACACCCCCAACCACCATTCATGATCATGGCATGCAATCCTTTGCAGTGTTTGAACAGACATTCACAAGAAACATATCCCAGACACTCCATGGGACTGGTATAGTCACCTACATTGGGGTGGTGCCAGATATATATATATATATATCTATCACGTACCTGGACCTGACGCTGGACGTCCGACGGCCGGAGATACACGTATATTGTACGGAGGGCGTAGGGCTTTCTACCAGCCAGGAGACGAGGGCCCACAACCTGGAGTTGCATAGGGTGATATTACTTTCCCTATGCCTCTCCCTAGGGATCCTAGGAATCCTAGGACCCTCCTGGCACAGGCCATGTCTCAGTGTCTCCGTCCTCACCGTACCTGAGGTTCGGTACTTAGATCCCTAGGGTATGCATATCTATCCCAGACACTCCATGGGACTGCCATATATGCCGATCAATTGACCCCCCTGGCACCACCCCAACTGATCGGCATATATGGCAGTCCCATGGGTCGTGTCTGGGTATGCATGAATCCCCTTTGAAAAAGATCTTGTTTTCTTTTGGGATTGGCTTCCTGGACAAGAAATCCAGTCGACGATCATCTCCCTAGCCTCGCCTTCGACAACCGTGTTTCTGTCTAAAATCCTTTGTAAAGCTTCCGTTCGTAGGGTAAGGCCCGTTCGTCGCGTCCTCTTCCGAAAGGCTGTGGTTCTTTATCGTCCGGGTCCAACTTCATCGTCCGAGTCCACGCGTCGCGGTTGCTCGCCCTCACAGGCCGGAAGTTTCCTGGTTGGGGGGGCCCCAGTTGGGCGGAACCGTCGAAGCAGACACCGTTGAACCGTCGATCTCCCAGTGACCCACGCGCTTTCAGCTGCGGGAATCGATTTCTTCCGGGGTTCCGGCAGACAGGCAGCATCCAAGAGCCTAAGAAATTGGGGTTGGAACAGACCTCGGGTGGTTTGATGATGTTTGATGTTTCTGTTTTCACATGTTAGAAGTTGTTGTTTCTTTGGTTTGGTATTTGTTGGATATTTACTATGCGGAGGTTGTGGTATACACCAGTGCGTTATGTTGACAAGTTTTGGAGCGACACAGAGCTTCGACACCACCTCAATTATCAAGTGATGTTTTTTTTGTTTTGTTCAAAGACACATCGCAGTCTTTCTAGAAGGTGAAAGAGAGATTTCGCGTGATCTCTCAATGATGTGTTTCCCGCCGTTTGAGGTTGATGCGAGACGTAGAATGGCCTCCAAAATGGACAGGTTTGCCATGTCATCAAACGCACCACATTCGGCACCCGAACTGCTGGAGGAACTGCTGGTGGGTGATGGGATCCTAGATGGTGATGGATCCAAGTCCAAAAGCATCGCGCAGGAAAGCTGAGCTTCTCAAGAGATTCTATCAAAACAAGTACAGCACAAATCCAACTTAAGCATGCTGAAGTACTGAAGTCGGGACTTGGTGAGATGATCTTGGCTGCAAAGTGTGTTGTGTGAGGCAGCCAGTTGTGTTCTGCGGGGCACGCGGAGGGGAACCCCTTTCAAGGAGGTTCTGAGAATGAACGGACACAGCATATTCAATCATTTTTGGGGATCTTTCCTTTTGAATCACAGGAGAACTATAACAGCCAAGAAATCACTGTCAGCCTCCAAACTTATTTCTGCGCCTCTGTTGATGGACTGTGGCTGTTGGAAGAGCTTCGACCATGGTCTCACGTTTACTGTCACTTCGATAGGAGGGTGGACAACAGGCGACTCTGGGGAGAGGAACAACAGAGCGTGAACACACAAACCTATCCAGGAAATATGTGGATTGCCCGCCTAACCCTCTTTGGGGTAGACTCTATTTTGTTTTTAATCCACTCAAAAGGAACAGGTGGGAACATCGTGTCACCTCTTTCTCAGACATCAACGCGTTCGGGCGGAGTCGTGCCACCAGCGCTTCGACTGCACACGCCACCTATCACCCCTGTAGCGCGCGCGAAGTTCTCTACCGGAGTCGTAGACTGTCGGACTTCGTCATGGAGTGCTGCACTGCCTTCTGTGGTCTTTTGAAGATCCTTGGACGGATCAATGTGCCTTGGACGGATCGGTACGGCGCACCTTCATGTCGGGGTCACCTGGCTGTTTTCGCCCCAGTCCCCCCACTCTCCGGGACCTCCAGACGGGACACCCCGAAAGAAGGTGCCAGGCAGACTCTGTTTTTTTTTCTCGGGAGAATCCGACGATTTGGGGACATCGGATTGGCCATGATGGCCATAGTAACATCAAACCCTACAAGTCCAGCCTGACCCAGTAAAACCTGGTCCTTTCCCTTCTTGGTTTCAGCGGTTTTTTGTATGACCAACATCAGTAAAATGAGGTCATTGACTTGTAGGGAAAGACTTTGGTTTCAGCACCCTTCGATCCAAAGGTCCCTAAAGAACAAAAAAATATATACCAGCACCCCCAGCTAAGGGGTGATGAATGGACACCCCTTAATAACGGAGAAGGGGCTATAAATAGACACCCCGACAGGAGGGTCCTGGTAGGAAGTGTGTGATTTTCACCAAACCATGCAGTCCCTTCGAACGGATGTGGAAGCCTCCAAGCCAAGGGAATCACTGGGGTTCAAGCACCTCAAACCACCTCGGTGAACCGTTAGACCCACTCCACGGACGACGAACACCGCGTGCCGTCACCGCACGCAGTGCCACGTGGCATGCGTGCAACCCGCCGCCAGGTGCGTGTGGCTTTGGGTTGGAAGAAGCAGACCTGGCCACAAGATGAGTGGGTTTGGCAGTATGAGGAGTCCATTTTTGTCCCTTCTTTTTCTCCGGATCTTGGAACTTCAGACGACGGGCATCTAAACTGATTGGACTAAATGGATGATGTTTGGAAAAGATGAGCTTGACATGAAGGACTTATGAGCATGTACGTATAGCATATGCCCAAGCTGAGCATGTTTTAAGTTTGTGAAGAGATCAACCTAGATTTCCTTAGAAGGGCTAGGGCAAGACAGCGGATGACAGCAGTCATGTTCTTGTTCATGGGTTGACTGCTGTACAGCCCGACGTCGAGTGTTTTTGAGTCCGTCCCTGCACCCCACATGTGCGAATCAGGCGTGAATCAGGATCAGCGTCTCCAAGCGGCCGTGAAACACAGTCCCCCAAAAGGGATCCACATCTCCCAGAACACGACCTGTCTGGGACTGCCAGGACGGATTGGCCGCCCCAGACAGACACCCGTCCTTCAACCACCCCTGGCCTTTTCTGGGCAGTCCGTCCTGGCAGTCCCAGACAGGTCGTGTCTGGGTATCACAGACCCTTTGGATTTGTAGGTGATATGTGAAGACACGAGTCGACGCGAGTCGACGGTGCGTCCTTCGTTCCGCCAAAACTCGCATCGAAGCGACTCACGACGAATGGTTCGAGTGGACCGGTCTGAAGTCGCATCTAGATGTCCTGGCACGGTGTCCAAGGGCGTTTTGTGTGGTTCACTCGACTTGTTCTATACTCCCCAAAATGGGGGACCATCGCATCTGGGCTGGTCACGCCTCCGCCAAAGGCGCTTAAAACGGTCTGTTTTTCGCGCTCGGACCGATGGACGGAGCTAGGAAGATGCCATTGACCCGGAGATTGCCATCGTGGATGTCACTGGGATGGGAGATGGATCCAGAGATGGTACCCTTCTTCAGAACCGGAGACAGATGACTCTGGATGATGATTTTCAAGCTGGGTGCCAGGTAGACTCCATGGATCCAGGTAGACTCTGGGGTTGTTCAATCCCAAATGTGGGGCGAGGGTACCTGGGATTTCTTCGCTTTCGGAGTCTACCTGGACCTGACACCGGGAGTCTATCCGGATGTCCGAGGGCTGGAGATATATGGACCAACCAGGACGACCCTTGGGGTCGACCGGTGCGCCAGCGCATGATGTTCGACCCTCTGATCGCACCTGGGTCGTACCAAAGAAGGTGGTGAGTGGAGGTACTCGAACGAAGGTGCAGGAACAGGCAGTGGGGGGGGGCAGAGGTTGAACATGTGGAGAGAGAGCTTCCATGAAATCTTCAAGATTCATGGAGGAAAGACCGGTGAAAGAGGGAGTTGGGACATAGAAGGAGACTTGCTGTGGCAATGTGGGTGTGTCCCCAAATCACCTTCTCACCCCGAACTAGGTGAGCAAACTATACCAGCACCTTCCAGAACTCGGAAGTACCCCAGCCCTGCCTATGGACGTGGAGAAAGCAGCCGTAGGACACCCCGGTCCATCCAGCGCCATCCAGTGTCAGGTCCAGGTATGTTATCCAGGACCCTCAAAGTGACCTCTATGGAGTCTCTAAGTGGCCTTGAACAGGCCTAAGTGACCTCATCCTGGGATCTCTTAGGTCACTTTGAAGGTCCTGGATGTTGTGAATGTCCTCCCCTTTGCGGGGGAGATCTCAGCTTGAATGACTGTGGAGCATCCACCGAAAACGCTCGCCCAAAAATCGCCTCCTGTCGCCTGTTGTGCGGTCGCCAACGGGTGAAACCGCGCAGCCAGTCGATTGTATGTCGCATGGATGACTGCCTCCCCTTGGTCCCCAGGGCGAAAGTGGCTTCTCACTTGGAGTTCCAAGGGGGGCTGCGAACTCGACAACAGCAGCTAGTGGGTGTTCGAGGCTGCTTCGCCTAGTTGCTCCTTTTGAAAGAATCCCAGCAGTTAAACTGTTTGGGGAACAACTCTTCAGGCTCTTGATCCACAGAAAGATGATACCCGCACACTCCATGGGACTGCAATATTTAAAACAATTATGTAAATATTGGGTTGGTTTGAGGGGTGAATGTAATTATGTCAATATGTCAATAATTATGCCATCGTATGCCATACATACATGGAGTGTTTTGGTACATCTACTGATCAGCTTGAGGTGGTTTCGGGCTATGTACCCATTACATAGACCACCGCCAGTCATTCTATAGATCTCCCACATTCCGTTTTGGACACCGGTGCACACCGCTCTACGGGACCCGGATGGATGGACGGCGGCCCAGGCGCATCATCACTTCTTTGACCCTGTGGAGCATGAGCAGTGGCCTGTCGCCAAGCCCCTGCGGAAGCTCATGCCGCTGAGCGCAGACCACCAAGCGACCGCGACAGCACCGCGCTTTCGCGACCAGCGGAAGGGGGAGGGAGACGGTTGGGCGCCGGAAAAGGACCGAAGGTGGTTCTGGGAGAGCTAGGATCGCAATGCTCGTTGAGAAGAACTTGCTAGTGTATTAAACCAGAGTTTTTACTTTTTGGAGGACCAAGATGGACCAAGACAATTATGGTTGATCTTTTCGTATCAAATACGGTTTTGCTTTGGCTAATTGAGAATCCACGTTTCGACGCGTGTGGATCATATGCATGTGGATTCGAACTGACTCCAATCCGGAGTGGGTTTTTCACTGTGACAGGCACATCTCTCTTCTCCAATACACACCTGTTGGAACTCCTGGACATCCGAAACAAGTGCTTTGTCGATCGTCGATTCCTGCAGATTCGGACACCGCATGGGTTCGGGCCGCGACCAACCGTGGCAGGAGAGACCCCCCTTTGGATGAAAACTGGGCGAATGGTCGGCTAGCTAGCTTCGTGTCCAGTAGCATGTAGCGCTTCTTGCTTCATGCTTCCACCGCTTGATGGCGCTGGAATTCGTCGGGCAGACACCCAGGGGTCACAGTCGACGGGGCAGTGGTACCGGCGGACCGAACGGGTATATCGGTTCCGAAAGGGCTCGGGCACGACCAGTCGACCCGGTCCGGGGGGGGGCCAGAAGTCGGGTCCTTGCGGTTCCAGAAGTCGGGTTCCGGACCTGGGTCAAGTGCCGAGTCCGTCGTGTTATGGATGCGCCCAATCAATCCTTCAGTGCAGAAAGAAACCATGAGAAGCACGAGTTTTCCCTCCATGAGTTTTAAGAGGCTCAAGTAGCCTTTTGTGTCTTTCAGAAAACCATCAAAGCCTCCTAAGAGCATAGGCTCACCACAGCGTTTGTTTGAACATTGGTTCAAATCTGGTGACACTTGGCCAAAAGGGATGCTACCTCCTCCTAATCTCGATGCCTTAAAAAAGGTTGAACCAGGTTGAAGCTACTTGTTCCCAAGAGCTTTTGAAGGATCCTTTGGTGTTGCAGACTCATGTAGTGCCCTCTAAAGCCTCTCTAAAGCCTAAATACCTGAATCCATCCAGATATCCAGATCCCAAAGAGTCCAACCATTTTCGCCCCCAACGATCCTCAACCCCCCCTTACAACGCGACCCCATTTTCGAGCGTTGGTTGGCGGGTCCGGTATCCCATCCCATCCCTCGTGAACGAAACGATCCTCCGCCGTCCGCCTGGCGGCGCTTTCCCGTCTCTGCCGTCCGAGATTTATGCAAGATGGACATGACCTGGTAAGAGGGACACTTGGCTGATCGAAGTGCTCGAAGAGTCTCGAGAGTTTCTGGAATGTTTTTCCGCAGCTGCCAAAGTCAGCTCGTGCTGCAGCTCGGAATAGCTCCCCATTCGAGACCTTTTGTTGTTGAAAGATCAGGACAATCATGATCAATATATATATATATAAATATATATATGTGTTATCCCAAGGCAGTGTTATGCCCTCAGTGTCCGCAAGTTGGCTATGTTTGCAAAAGTTTCCTAACAACACTTGCAAAGATCAGAGTGTTGAGAGGGGTATAGAAACGTGGAAAGCGTTGTGTGAGATGCTTTCCTGCTTTCCCTATTTTTGCTGTGAATGGTGTGTCTTGATAGCACGGTCACGGCATCTTAATGGTAGAAATTGGGTGTGTCCCATGACCTTTAACAGTCGACCAAACAGTTATCACTATTTTGAAGATGGAAATGCCCACAACTGAACCATCATCCACTGAGCCCCAGAGAATCGGATTGTACACATGCAGACCATCGCATCCCACCTTTTTATCGCGTGTGGTGCCTGGCTATGGCCTGAAAACCACCCAAGTATCAATTTTCTGAGGTACGAATTGAGACTCCAGGTATGCCACTAAAAACTAACATAGACCCTGAAAACCACTGGAGGAAAACGGTCTTTTAAGGCCTCATTTTCAGGGTCCATGTTCGTTTTCGGGAATGTACAATCAAATGTTGAAGTCGTGGCAAAGCGTTTCCGGGATTTGAATGTATGGAAGTCGTGGCGATGTCGTGGTAATGTGTGGAAAGGGGATGTGTCGCATATACACGATCAGTCAGGTAACCAATTAGAGGTGTTTATTCTGAGGGCTTTCCTTGCTTGACCTCGTTCACCCTCTCGTTCACCCTCGTTCCGATACCTGGCTGCAACTTGTGTGATTTAAGTAAAGTGTAAAGAGCCTGGTCCAAGGAGATGTCAAGGGACCATAAGGAGATTAACATCATTGCTATATCATTGCGTTTCCATGCAAGGAGCTTGTTGTGAATACATGATAATTGGGCTAGGGAAGGACTTTCAGAACACATAGAAAAAACATTGCCAAATATTGCCGTTCCGTGCGGGAAGCTGGTTTTTTGCAAGGACTATGCCGGGACCCCCTCCTGGTCCTCCTGGCGTCGCGTGTCCATTGGGGAACACAAGTTGTTTCCTACTATGCCGTGATTTCCGCGGCTGAGTGCAGTTGTAAAAGCAACAACCTGACCAATGCCGCTCTCAATGCCACGGCAATGCCCAGACAAGATCTGGTCGCGGTGGCGCCATAAACCCAAAACCACCACTCATGTACCCAGACCATCCATGGGATTGGCATGTTTTCCTATACATTGGGGTGGTTGAAGTACGGGGTGAATGTCGGCATCTATTCCATACATGGAGGTGTCTCGGGTAGGCTATAGGACTGCAATGCCATCGTGGGATTGCTGTGTGACGTCTTGTAGCCAGGATCATTACGGATCCAGCTATGGCATCGTTGCCCTATTGTTTCTTGGCTGAACTGGCAACTATTCCGAATGCGCGCAGAAAAGCGTGCTCATGGCACGGGTGAGTTACGTACCTGCCTACGTTTGGTTGGCGTCTTTGCTCCCAACCCGGCGACAGCACCGCAGGGACGGCTGGACGGTCCGCAGGGACGGTCCGAAGGGGACGCGGGGACCCACGGCCCCACCAGGACTCGGACCCGGTCGACCGGTCGACCGGTCGGTCGGTCGCGGTCGGTCGACCGGTCGAGGCTTTGGAGAGCGGGCGCCCTTACTGGCGAGAAGCTTGGTAGCTCAGACCGGGTCTGAAGCATCGTTTTTGCAGGTCAGTGACCTGCAGAGGGCTGGTGCACGCTAGGAAGTCGGTTCCGTGGATCACATCTCTTTTGGGTTTCGGCTTCCGTAACAGGTGAAAAGGTTAGCATGTTTTCCAGGGAGACTCAGGGGGTCAGGTCAGGGTATCGTAATATAGGATCTACCAAAAGTAACTATTTCCAGATTGAACAGTCTCGTTGCCTTGGTTGTGGTTTGTTTTCCTTGTATCCTTTGTTCGAAGCCAAGGATACAAAGGCCCGGAGCTTCTGCGAGACATCAAAGGCAATGGCAAGGGCCATCGGATTGTGAACACCGTATTCATTGATCCATGGCCCTTTTTCTTCGTCAGCGTCGGCGACGCGCTTACAGCAGTGCGCTAGCTGTGGTCCTGTGGAGCTGCTTCAGGGTTGGAGGAAGATCAGAAGATCCCCCCAAAAGCGAAAAGGATCCCATTCCACCTGACCTGGCCCTGGCGAAAAACCATCCCAAAGCCAGTCATGGAGGCCGGCACATACGCTTTTCAACCCGTGCAGCGGTTGGGTCACCAGTGTCCTCCACTTATACCGCTTATACTGGTATGATCATGCATGTAACATGTAACACACCCAGATACTCCGTGGGACTGCCATAGGACTGCCGATCAATTGACCCCCCCAAACCACCCCAATGTATGCATATATGGCAGTCCCCATGGGTTGTGTTTGGGTATCATCGGACAAAACAGGTGTAACCATCGAAGAATCGGTGGCAAACATGGACAGTGTTGATGACAGGAAGGGCAGATGCGGCCCAGTGAATTGACACCCGTATGTTATTGTATAACCTGTGGCCAACATGGATCTTGAATTTGGAAGCTGGAATTTTTGAGCCGCCATGTTTTGATGTAAGATGATGTATCGAATCTCTTAAACAGCCCTTTTAGTCTTTCGAACACTGGAACAAACTGAACACTGGATTAGTTGTCTCTTTTCAGACAACAATTCCAGGGTTCTGGGATTGTCCAGGCACAACATCCCAGCTGTTCACCGCTTGATCCCGCTTCTGGGTTCCCCCCCACGACTGCGGTCGAGGTTGTCGAAACGATGGAAGAAAGCATAGAAGAACGGCTAAGACGTTCTTTACAGGGATGGTCGTGTTTCTCCTTCCCTCACTCAGAGTCCAGATGAATCAGGATGAATCCCCTAAAGGGGGATTTGTTTGTTTTCCCGGTTCTTAAAGCAAATCCGTTCGAATCATGAACGGTTGTGTTGCACAGAATCGGGATCGGGGGACCATCATGTTCGGGGTTTTACACAGCAGCCGCTGAATCCGGACATGAAAATGACCACCTTTATGACCTGCAGAACTGGGTGGTGGTTTAATATGTTATGTTCGCCAGTTATTAATTTTGGATATTTTTGGATGGTTGATCCCGGTGACTCATGCTGCCTTACTATTGAACTGCGGCGATCCGAGAAGAAACACCTCTCGTGCCACATTAGCATGGGATCTGTTCCCTCCCTCCGAGCGTTGGCGGAAGCACGAGCGAGTTCGAGACCTCGAAGCACGCGGTTTTCACATGGTCGCAGGCGTTTTCAATGAGGAGATCACTCCAAAAAGGCTATCAAGTATACTGGGGGGGGGTGGTGATTTTCAGATGTTGATGTTCAACCTTTACTTGGGATGATTGAAGCGAAAACGAGTGGAAACCATCGAACATGATTTGATCCCAGACACTCCATGGATGTCATTGATATGCCTGGTGATATGCCTATCATTGCCTATATATATATTGTTGTTTGAGAACATGTTTAACCGAGGGTCAATGTAGAATATAATGTCACCAGTCCCATGGAGTCTCTGGGATGATTCAATATTACAAATTCAACCATCTTACTCTGACTGGTGCTTAGCAGGGAATGAGGGAATGGATCCAATAGAATCTCTATTGGGGGCTCATTCCCTTATTCCCTACGAGTCGCACCAGTCAGTACTTCCATCACCCTTCCAAAGCCCGCCGGCACCAGTACTGCCCATCACGATGCCGACGATGACCATGACGCCCCCGAGGAATGTGGATGGAAGACGCCGGGTGAAGCCGTGCAATGCATGGAACCGGTGAAGGAGGCGGCCACTCGGTGTGTGAGGCGGCGTGGCGCCACGTCACGCGTCAGGCGTGCGCGTCGGGCGGCCGCAGACGAAGTCGGCGCGGTGCGGAGGATGTGGGCTGCGCCTTTTGTTGGCCCGGCGGATTGAGTTGGAGGATCTCAGAGGCAGATTTCTGTTTTTGTTACCTAAGGAAACTCCTGGTCGATGGGTACTTCCTTGGAATGGTGGAGACGAAAAAGGGTGTCCATTGGAAGGCCCTGCACTATCCTTGAGTATCCTTGACCTGAGTCCACTTCACTCCAATCCAAAAATGAGTACGACTCGCCCAGCAGACACGTAGTCCACTCCATTGGACATGGCCATAGATCAATGGCTCAGTGGTACCTGGATGCTTGTTCAGACACCGCGTGCACGCGTGTGCACTCGTGCAGCGCTGGGAGCGGGACCCAGACACGACTCCTGTTTGGGACTGCCAGGATGGACTGCCGAGAAACGGGCGTGGGGTGGTGCGTGGGGAGTCAATGTATACAGGCATTGGCATAGCTATAGTATATAAGATATACCAGGGGGGCCCGAACCAAACCATGAAAGAACACCTGTTTTCACATACAAACACCATGTGTTGTTGCTAGGGAAAACCCAGGATCTTGATGGGCCATGTCAAACACCCCCTGGTAACCCTGGTGCCATGGTGCCGGGGATCCGTTCGTCGAACCTCAGGTATGCCGGTGGATCCGTGGATCCCGAACACAGTCCCGTGAGGTCCGCCGTGAGGTCCGCCGTGAGGTCCGTTGGAGTTCGATGCGGTAGAACCCGGTGGTTCGGAGTTGGGAACGTGGCATCGTCCGATTTCACCAGGACACCAGGACGCCAGGACACCAGGCCTAAGGGGTGTCGAACTTGATAGCCCCGTAGATAGAGGTGATGATTCGGGGTGGTTAATGGATCTACCACCCCGAGCGACAGTGGGTCCTAGGAGTCCTAGGTGGTCCTGCAGGTCCCTAGTTTGGAAGTTCAGTCCGTGGTGTACTGTTTGAGTGCTGGGGTATCCCGTCCAGGGTCCAGGACCATCCGAATCTCGGATGGTCGAACGGAGGTGAGTGACAGTACTTTCCTGAGAATGGTCGAACTGGGGCCGGGACATCCGATTTGGATGGTCCTGGACCCTTAGGGTATTGACCAGATATAGGTGGTCCCTATAGTCAATAGAAATCAATGTCCAATACATGTTTTGTGGGGATCTATTCTATCTAGTTGGGGGATTCGATCTAGTTTTTTCGAAGTCTATCTATCTATTTGGGGCGTCTATAATATATACCTACAGGGTGTTTGATGGAGGTCTCGCTCACTTGCCTCGCTCATGGTGGAAGACCTTTCGATGACAATGGCCGTCGCCTTTGCGAAATAGACACCATCAACTCATATCAATTCTATCCCATACACTCCATGGGACTCCCATATATGCCGATCAGTTGGGGTGGTTTGGGGGGGTCAAGGAAGGCATATATGGCAGTCCCATGGAGTGTTTGGGAAAAAACACATGCGTTCCTTGAATCCAGTCGAAGCCTCATTTTTCTCAGAACGCATGTGTTTTTTTGGGTTCGATAACCCTAGGGCTCCAAGGACCTTCTAAGAAGGTGTTTGGGGTGGGTTTAGAGGGTCCAAATACCTTCTGGGGAGGTACTTGGAGCCCTAGGGTAAGGGAGCTGATTCAAGATGTTTGTCCATTTGACGAACCTACGGCGCAGCACGGCACAGCCAAGGACATGGTGAGTGGCTCGAATTGCATGTTGGGAACTACTCTCCCTGGAACTAACATGGCAGTGGAAAGCCACCGGTTTGTAGTGGAAAATGGTCTTCCAAGGGGCCAGTCTCCACTTCCATGTTAGTTCCAGGGAGTGTCATCCGTGTAACACACAAACCATCATCCATCAGGTCCGGCATCACCTCATCATCCATCAGGTCATCACCTCATCATTAGGGGGATCCTGGGGGGGGTGATTATATAATCCGGAACTACATCCTGAAAGAGACCCGCATGGAACCTGAAAACCACGGGGTTGCAAAGGAAAATCGGCTTCCAGTATGGTCCATGCCATCAGGTTCCATGTGGATCTCTTCCTGGGTGTACAACATTCCATCCCAATTTCCACCCCCCCTGAGAACATCTGAGAACCAGTTCCGGACTTTGTCACCATTCCCTATCCAAGCTTTGAATCCTTGCCATAGGATTCCCTGGCCACCCATTGTCTATATGTCATAGACCCGAAAAGACACTTCAACTTGTTCTGAAACCATGGACCCTATAGGTACTATAGCAATTATAGCTACCCCCATATCTGAACCGGCCATGCCTTCTGCCTTCCCCACCACTGTGGGTTCCCGCGTTTGTGTTCGTGAACAATGAAGAATTCGTTGCTCCCCAAGTGTTCAATATCATGTGATTTGTTTTTCTTAAGGGGGGGGAAGCATGTGCTGTTTTCCAAAGCTTCAAAACGTGTTCTTCATTGCATGTGTCTCAGTTTGTAGGGTTCCAACTTCCTGAGAAGGTGTGGGTCACATACAGCCACTATAAGAGTCTATAAGATCCACCGAACTGGTCACCAGTGGTTCCAAAGACTAAACACACACACACACAGACCAAAGTTTGCAGTCGACTTCGTGAAAAATGGTGCTTTGCATGACGTCAGGGTCCGACTTTTGGTCGTCACAAAGGACAATTCCGGGACACCAACGGAGAGGCTAGCTGCTGGCTTTGGCATGAGTGGGGCGGATCCAGGGGAATAGGGTGGGGCGAGGGGTGAGGGCGGTGAGGACACGAATGTGTGGGATCAGCGCGCACCCACAATTCAAGAAAGGTGCAATGATGAAGACGCAAGCGTGCGGAATCATTGTTGCCTGTGCTCGAAATTTCAGAGGACCAGCCTGCCATGGTCCATAGTTTGAGACCCGCTGGGAATTGGCGGAGCTTGGAGCCATCTAGCTGTTGAAACGGCCTGCTGCGTAATTCCTTCGTAGCCGCACAACTGCTCGTTCCGTGCCACTCTCTGTGCAGTGAAGTTGGCCTGGGTGAAAAGAAAGCTAGTGGACAACATGAGAGACATGAAAGTATAGTTTTTCGCAGATAGATATCATAGGCAAAGTGTTAGTTAAAGAAAGTACTGGTCAAGAAAAGCGTGGGAGAGACGTATATGACATTGGGCAAAACAGACACTTAAATCATGACATGTGTGTAAAGTCGCTTGCCGGATCATCCATCAAAGACGTGGAGCCATGGAGCCGGCAGACGCCCAAAACTTTGGCGATAACGATAGGCACAGGGCAGCCGAGGCCACGCTGGCCGACCTGGACTTGGAAGAACCTTGCGTTAATACCTGTTGATCCATATGTGGTGATCCATATCTGGTGATCTGTATCTGGTGACCCATATCTCTTGATCCATACCTGGTGACCCATACGTGGTGATCCATATGTGGTAACCTATGTGGTGATCCATATCTGATGATCTTGTGACCCATGTGGTGATCCATATCTGGTGATCCATATGTGGTGATCCATATCTGGTGAGCCGTATGTGGTGATCCATATCTGGTGACCCAAAGGTGATCACTATGATCCATATCTGGTGGCCCATATCTGGTGACCCAAATGTGGTGATCCATACCTGGTGACCCATACCAGGTGACCCATATGTGGTGATCCAAATGGTGTTGGTCCATATCTGGTGATCCATATCTGGTGACCCATTTCTGATGATCCATATGTGGTGATCCATATCTGGCGACCCATATCTTATCTGGTGATCCATACCACTCACTCCACTCACTGACTCCAGCCACTCACTCCACTCACTCACTCACTCACCCACTCACTCACTCACTCACTCATTCACTCACTCACTCACTCACTCACTCAACTCACTCTCTCAACTCACTCACCCAACTCACTCACTCAACTCACTCACTCAAGTCGATCACTCAAGTCACTCACTCAACTCACTCACTCAACTCACTCACTCAACTCATTCAACTCACTCAACTCACTCAACGCAACTCAACTCAACCCACTCACTCACTCAGTCACTCACCCACCCACTCACCCCTCGCTCAGTCACCCACCCACTCACTCACTCACCTCACTCACTCGCTCACCCACTCACTCACTCATTCACTCACTCATTCATTCACTCACTCACACTCACTCACTCACACCCACTCACTCACACCCACTCACTCACTCACTCACTCACCCACTCACCCACTCACCCACTCACCCACTCACCTCACCTCACCTCACCCCACCTCCTCACCTCACCCCACCTCACCTCACCCCACCCCTCACCTCACCCCACCTCACCTCACCCCACCTCACCTCACCTCACCTCACTCACTCACCTCACTCGCCCCACTCACCTCACTCACCTCACTCACCTCACCCACCTCACCCACCTCACTCACCTAGTGGCCCACTGACCCCCTCACCCACCCACTCACCCACCCACCCACTCACTCACCCACTCAGTCACTCAGTCACTCACTCACTCACCCACTCACTCAACCCCCAGTCACTCCAGACACAGGGAGAGAGAGAGAGAGAGAGAGAGAGAGAAAAGAGAGAGAGAAAAGAGAGAGAGAGAGAGAGAAAAGAGAGAGAGAAAAGAGAGAGAGAGAGAGAGAGACAGAGAGAGAGAGAGAGGGAGGGAGAGAGAGAGAGAGAAGGGATTCTTTTTGGTGTCTCAGGTCCCTACGATGAAGTTTGCCTTTTTGGTTGCAATGGCTGTCGCCACAGCGATGAACACACAAGACACACAAGAGGATTCCTCAATCGAGGAAACTCCTGTTTTGCCTGGACAAGTGTCATGCACACACCCTCCTGTGGTCCCCTTCAGCTTTGGTTTGGTCCCACAAAGCATGGAGATAGACTTGGAGGTGGAGGCTTACACTTCACCTCCCCCCCTCCCCCTCCCTCCTCCAGACAACCAGGAACAACAGGAGGAAGAGGAGGAAGAGCAAGAGGCAGAGGAGCAGGAGGGGGTTGAGGCAGAGGCGCAAGATTTCCCTAAAACAATTGACCAAGGAACCCATTTCCCGCTGGGATGAATTCTTGCGCCGGGCGTACAGGGCGGCAGCAAAAGCAACCCACCCTGACAGCGGTGGTTCTTCGGCCTCCTTCCAGGAGCTTGGCCATGCCCTTACCCTCATAGAGCGGTGGCTCCAGGAGCACCGCAGGGCCATCCAGGAGTTACAAGAATTCTTTGGGGAAGAGATGGTGTGCCATTGTTTGCAGTGCCGATTGTTTTTCCGGAACATGCGGCCATGCCCGGCCTGCAGCGGCACGGACTCACGCCGCGGCCACCTCAAAACATGCCCATTTCCTCAATACGCATTGCGTATTGGGAAGGCGCATAAAATGCCGTTGTGGGCTATGTACTTGAAGAATGTTGCCCACGGCATGGCCCCTGACAAAGCCAAGGACGCAATTCAAGAGGCCAGGCTCCTCCATGAGCACAAGACCCGACACAGGGCGAAACTGGACCAATGCAGAAAGGCTGCAGAGGAGAGGGCAGCCAAGGAGGACTTTAATGTCCGAATTGCCAGGAAGCGCAAGGAGTTGGAGAAGGAGTGGGAGGAGGCCTACTTTAAAGAAACGGGGTTCAGGCTCCCGAAAGATGAGCCCCTTGATGGTTTAGAAGAGCTCCTGGCTGAAGGGAGGGGAAGTGCTAGCAGCTCTGCTGCGCCTCCTCCACAGAGCATCCCGTTACCCACTCCACCAACACCAACACCAACCCACCTCCCCCCAACTCCAACCAACACCAACCCACCTCCCCCAACCCCAACCAACACCAACCCACCACCAGCCCACCATGCCCCAACAGTTTTCCCACCAGGGGTGGCCCCCACAACCACAACAAGCCAGCGCAACTGAACTCCCACCAGGGGTGCCCCGACCACCAGAAACTTTAAATATGGGCGTGTTCCACAGGTGCCCATGGTGCGGGGCCAATTCCTGCCGGTGGGAGCAATTCCGCGGCCGGGACGGCCTCATGAAACGCTGGTTCAGGTGCAACAAGTATAAGAGGGATGGATCGGGATGCACTTTTCACTGCTACGATCCGAAGAACCCATTCAGAGGTCTATCCCCTCGCCCGCCAGGCAGTGCTGCCTGAACTGTTCTATTCTGAAACGCTTGGCACTTTTGCACCAAGCTGAAAAAGAAACAATACCAAATAAATAACAAATAAATATGAAAATAGAGTTGTCATATGTATTTTCATACTATTTTGTGAAAAAGACCGTCAATTTTTTCATGTGTCAAACAGGAAACAAACATTTAGGGTTAGGGTTTAGGGTTTTAGGGTTTATGTGAAAAGGCAAGGTGAAGTTCGTCCAGATTGCATGTGGGTAGCACCCGACTTGATCGAAAGCCAATAAACTGAACAAAGCAAATTCTTTACTTTGTGCCAGGATCAGAATCCTTGAGCATCACCACTGCAAGGCAGACCTGTGGTTGAGACAACCTTGATCCTGTGCAAGCCCCAGCGTGGGGATTGAACTCGTTCTCGTTCCAAGCCCGAAACTTCGTGACAGCAGTCCACACGTGGACATCCACTTGGGTTTGTGCAGCCCTGTACAGGGCAATGTCCTTAACGAACCAGGCGCATGCAACTTGAACAGTTGAGGCCCTTTGTGCCAAGCAGGCTTTGAACCACTATACCAATGATTCCTGCTAGTGGTGCTTGAGGACCGCTCCTGTCTCACAGTTCGCGCCCACAGTTGACCAACCGACCGAAAGTGTAACTCTTGAACAGTTTTGTGGACTTGAATGGTTTTGGGACGGAGTGCATGCAACCAGCACCAGTTGACACTCCAGAAGACTAAGTCTTGTTAGCAGTGTACACGTGTCACGTGAACACGCGTGATGTGCTGTGTGTGCCACTTTGATCTTGAAGACCTTTAGAATCCAGAAGTTTTGGACATCCAGTGGTCCGCAGCTCCCCACCCTGTTTTTGACCACGTGATGTTGCAGTGCTTGAACTTGTCACGACAGTGACAGTGGGTGAACATGACAGCACTGTTGTCCACCAACCAGTACTTTGTAGTCACGAGGGTGACCATGGTAGAATGAACTCATCGTGAGCATCCCACTTCCAGTGTGCTCCCCCGATGCAGCGCCAGTGGTGGACTTTGTTTTACGGTCTTTGACCGGGTGAGGTGATACAGTTGATCCTCGTGCAACGGTCGTTGGAATAGCCTGCCACCAGAAGTGGGCTGAGGATTTCTCTTTGAACCTGCGGTTCGTTCCCGACAGTTCGAGTTGAAACTTCCCACCTGCGAGGTGGACAGGCCTCCTCTTTTGAGAAGCCCCTGACTTGAGACGTTTAGGACCTCCCGGGAATTTGCGGTCATGTGTACATGAGAGTACACCACTGTACAGGAATAAGTCAATGGATGGCCACGACGCCAACTTGGCTCAAGGAGTGAGTGGAAAAAGACATATATGAACGCAGGTGTGCACTTTTTGTAATTTGAAGAATTATATAGGTAGCACTTAAAGTCCTGAAGGGACACGTTCGTGGCAGTTTGTCTTTGAGCTCGCTCCATCCAGATCCATTTTGGATCTGCGTATGGTAGCGGAGCCTCGTTAGGAGGTGTCCGAAGCATGCAGCCGACCGAAGTGTGGCTGACAGATGCCATTGAGGCATCGGTTCGTAGGAACATGGGAGTCCCCGTGCAGGAGGCACAAGAGGAGCAGGAGGTTGACCCAGGATGTTCGTTAGGTGGGTGCCAGGAGGTGCAGGATCAGGTCAGAGTCCAGAAGGTCCACCCATGTCGTTTGGGCCAGGAGGTTGCACAGGTGCGTTGCCAGTGTGACTGGCGGATGTCAAGGTGATGCCACAAGTGGTCAGGCAGGAGTTCTTGGATGTACACCAGGACAGGTGAGTTCAGGAGGAGGTCTGTCAGGACCAGGACAGGTCAGTGTCATGCGAGGAGGATGTCCAGGTATGCCAGGTCTAGTCCCCATCATGCCCTTGAGTGCGGGCATGGTTCCTGTCCAGGTGCCACAGGGTATGCGCATAACCACCTCCGCCGATGTCAGAACGTTCCAGGAATGTCCGTGCCTGGTCCTGTGGGTCCGGTGATGTTTCAGACTGGTCCGCGTCCACTTGGTGTTGTTAGCACGCCTCCTGGTATCCCAAAGGGAAGCAATGTCGGTCAGAATTCGTCAACTGAGTTGCTGATAGGGATGTGCATGTCCATGATGCAACAGATGCAGCTACAGCAACAACAGATGCAGCAGCAGCAACAGCAGATGTTTCAAGCAATGCAAGATCAGCAGCAACAATTCATGGCCTTGTTGACCTCCCAGCCTGGGAGAGTGGGTGCTCATGGAGGTGTGTCGGCAGGACTTGGTTCAAGTGCCCCATCGGGGCCGACTTCGAGTGGAGGGGCCCCAGCCGGAAGCGGCAGTGAGACTGCCGGAAGGGATGAGAAAAGTTTGTTTAAGAGTATCGACTCTAAGATCCTGCCAAGTATGCCTGTACCAGACACTAGCAAGTGGAACACGAGGCCCTCAGAGATCTTAGGATTTCACAGCTATCTAGATCAGTTGACAGCTTGGATTGGTATGATGCAACCAGAGTTCTCTAAAGAGGTAAGAGAAATCGTAAGTAGCACGAGGCCAATTCAGGACAGTGACCTGTCACCTAGCCAGAAGGAAAGGAGTAGCAGGTTGTACTACATCCTAAAGCAGGCCCTAGAGAAGAGCCCGAGGGTCCAGTCGATCGTAAAGCTGCATGAGAGCAGTCTTGGAGTGACCACCACGACTAACGGATATCGTTTGTTGCAAAAGTTGAAAGAAGAGTACAGTTTGCAAACTCGTTCGGAAGCACTTCATTTTCGTTCTTGCTTGTTTGAACTTTAGAGTAAAGTCTGGAACTAGCTTGAAAGATGTTTTGAACGTGCTTGATGCTGAATGGATTTCGCTAGGGAAAATTTTCGAAACTGCAGTTGACACGTCGATTGTTCGAGACATTTTGCCCGCTAACCGGAACGATGCCGTTGGTTGTTGCAGAACATTAGCACTGAATGTCGTCGGTACGTGCAGTTGCATGCCCGTTCGGAAACGTATGATGATGCAAAGACAGCGGTAGCTAACTACTACTCGAAGACAGTTTTGTCAGAGCAGGATTTTAGCACGAATAGGGGTCTTTCGTTGTCTTCGTTAGGTGAGACGTTCGAGCCAGTTGAACCTGTGTTGGGAGCCGCTTCGATCGATCCGAAAGACCGTGAGTGCTGGAACTGTGGAAGGAGCCACATGGCCAAAGACTGTCGGCAACCCAAGAGCCCGAGCCAGCAGAAGGGTAAAGGAAAGGGGAAAGTTGAGAAGAGTGAGAAAAGTGAGAAAGGAAACGGAAATGAGAAAGGAAAAGAAAAGGAGAAAGGCAAAGGAAAAGGTGGCAAGCCCAGCAAAGGTCCAGCTAAAGGTAAACAGATTATACCTTTTGGTTCAAAAACTAGAGAACCGAGCTCAGCTTACGTCCCCCCAAACAAAACGGGCTCCTCCTCCACCATTCCGAACTCGCGACCGTTCGTCCCGTTGAAACACCGCGAGCCGAGGCGAGGTGCATCGGCAGTTCCCGGAGCTCTGCGGCGGCATCGTCGCCTTCGCGGACCTGCGCCTCGGAAAGGACCGGGACGAGCGGGTTCAGGCGAAGGAGAGGATGGGCGACCGGACCGGAAGGTATGTGGATCATATAGCCACATATTTTTTTTTTTGAGCGGCACCTATATTTGTTTCTCCACTCTAAACAGGACTAGGTGAAAAAAAATGAACCAGTATTTTTGGTGCAAACTGAGGGATTCAGATGGGGTCAGGAAGAGTTTCGGCCGTTGTTCTACGCCGTTTGGGCCGAGGCATAGCGGGAGCTTCCAACCGGTTTGTTTGGACCTTCAGAGGTTTCTGAGAATACCTTTTTCTGGTGAGAAAACACCGGTTCTCTGTCCAGCCAGGTGTTGACTGGGTCACTTTAAACATATGTTTCCTTCTCGCAAGATGCCGTTCGACAGGTGTTTGGCCAGCGCTTGTCGTTATTGCTCAACGAATTTAGAGAATTCTCCAAATTCAAGGCTTGAATTTGATAAATTCTCACAAGTCATAAACTATTTTTGGTTTTCCAAAACTCAACTTCAGAATACACAACATATTCCCAAGGTGTTTGATGCTTCAAAACACGCATGGCTTGTGATGTTGGGTCCAATGTCTCTCCTGGCAGGACGTGGAGCCGGCCTTGAAGTACTACAAGGCGAACCCTTTGGTCACCAGGCAGCATATCCTTTTCCTGGAGAGGGAGACGCACGAGAGATGGGTCGAATTGAACATGATCTATCCTACACACTCCATGCGATGAATATTTACATATTTGCAATACATTTGGGCTGTTGAAAAGGGTGTATAATACGGTCTACTTCTCAAAAAGGTGGTGATTCGGGAAGTTCATGAAAACCATCCCAACTCCCCCTATAGGTCCTGGTATGGAACTTTTGGATAGAACTTGTTTTGACTTTCCTCGAGATGGAATCTGATGCAATTCAGCAACGTTGCCTGTCTTCACTCAATCCAGTTTGCTGGATCTAAGAATCTTGTTACGCCGCATGCCTACACCACAAACTCCACTATGGGTTTCTGTCACCATCTTTCACCTATCTTTCACCTAAATGTCCACTCCCCAAACCTTCATAATACCCAGACCATCCATGTATGGAATATATGCCTACATTGACCCCCAAACCACCCCAATGTAGGTATATATGTCAATCCCATGGATTTGCTCTGGGGTATCACATTCTCCCTCACATCTTCCCTGTAGAATCAAGAGGCGAACTGGGTCAACGAGACTTCTTGGGTCCTTGAAGGGTCACAAGAACGATCGTCCAACGATGTTGACCTTCAAATAGATCGAGGTCAGTCCATTCCCACGAATGTATTGAAAAACGTGGATATGTATAAGTAGGAGTCTCAGTTGGTACCTCGAAAAGTGGGTACAAACATTTTTTTTATGGGGTCCTGTATGTACAATTTTCGAATGGTATGGAGGGTCCAGGTATTTGGGGAGCGCTGTGCTGCATATACGCAAAATCTCATCCGAACTTGGCTGGTTTTCTAGATGAAAAGGGAGTCCTTTGGACACATGTCGGAAGATTTAGCTATGGGATCAGCCCTTTTTTCGGGTTGGGAACCACGTGATCGCACCTTAATTGAGAATATTGAGAGCGATTGAAACCAGACACGACCTGAGGTGAAAGGCATACGTCACTCCTTGGCCTTCTGCGAAGATCCGCTGATTCGTGGTGGGAGCTGTCCCCACTGCAACAAAGGGACGGCCTATGATGAGAAGTTCCGGGAAGGCTTCGCGCTGCTGGAGAAGTATCTGGTCGACGTGAGTGGGAGCTGTGCCACATGGGTGATCGTGATGACCTTGTTGATGCAAAACTTGGAGATGCTGACACACTTGTGGAGAATGTGATTGTTGGCATTGCTGGGAGTGTTGTACAAGTTGGTTCTTTCTCAATCTCTATGATGCATACTTGTTTTTTTGGGCTTTCTGTGGGCCTACTGATGTCCAACGTGGCCATATTCGATCCGTATCACCCAGGCACTCCATAGGGGCTGGAATATTTGTTTACATTGACCCCTGAAACCATCCCAATATATAATATATGTCATACACACATATCCTATATTATTTGGGTCATGTTGTATCCTTTGGTGCTTTGCATCAATATGACAGACAGACTGGTTAAGTGATCAGCACCTTCCGGTTCGTCCCTCAGTCTCCATCGGGGACGGTCTCACCTCGGCCTCTATGAATAATACCTGCTGGAGCTCCCGGACTCCGGCCGCGGTTCAGTGGAGTGGGACCCACCGTGCGGTTCGGTTCGGTTCTGACTCCACCGGAACGCGAGGAGAGGGGAGCGCCCGCAAAAGGAAAGAGAGACCTTCAGTTCCAGGTGATCGGATTTTCCCAACCGATCGGCAGTCAATTGGTATCACTTGGAGTTCTGGACTTTGAATGAAGGTCCTGGCTAGCCTTGATATAGTCGAATGTTCTTATTTTTGCAGGAATTGCCACTCCCACTGCCTTTCTCATCATGAGCACTTGTTTGGGGCACGCCGGTGGCACAGATTTTTGTTTGAAAAGGCACCCAATATGTCGGAACTCTCTCCTGGGGAACTGAAAAGCCCTTCCAAAGACCTGGATTCGGCTTAGTAAGTACAAAAAACCGGTCTATAATTGCTCATGTTCTATGAGTACTTGGAGCCCAAGCACCTCTATGCAGTGTTGAGGCATCTCAAAGAGCAGAATTTGAGATGTATTTGGGCCAAAAAGAACCGCACTTGTGGGATGAAAATAACACCTTGCGGCGGAGGTGACCCTCAAAGGTGTCCTGGCTGGGTATCTCCATGAGTAGTGTAAGTATAGGGGCTTTGCTTGGTAACCCATGGTGACCCCTTTCGTTCAAGTGACCATTTAGTTGGGGGACGCTCTTCTCCTTCTGCGGTTTTTGTTGGGCCGGAAACAGAGCGGCGCTTTTGATGGCCTCCGCTTTTTCTGCCTCGGCTCTTCGCGACCCACGGTCTGTGGCTGCAGGTACGGCTTCGTGTACGACTGTTGGCTCTTCCACGAGCAGATCGATGCGTTGGAAGACCTGGCGAAGGCCTTTCCAAAGACGACGATCATTTGTGACCGGGATGGAAGACTGACGATGTTTGGACAGTCGGAAGGAAGGGGGAGGTGGAAGGCAACATGCAATTCTGGTGGAATGTGGTGGAATGCTTTGGATGATTTGGTATATGATTCCTTTCGATTTCGAGGGTGCTAGTTGCTATAGTTGGTGTACGGGTGTTATGATGATTTTGTCAATGGTCCTGAAATGGTGCTAACATGTATCAGGTTCAGGATATTTCGGGATGATTTAGTAACTGTATTTGTTTGTGTGTTTCTCCTCCCACAAATCCTCGTGAATTGTCCAGGAACGTGTGGCACGCGGGTCAAAATACCATGTTCAAGGCATTCAAAATACCATGTTCAAGGCATTCTCAGACACTGGCATCTTTAGTGTAGACTCTTGATTGACAAAAGCATCTAAAAGCACCCCATATGGAGAGGTGAACACCATCCAAATGGCCTTATGAATCCAGAATCTAGATGTAATGTTGCCTCTTGATTCATAATACCCCCACATGAAGAGGACTTTGACGGTTGGTGGGAGCAAGCCCGCAAGTCTGCGCATCCAAATGGGATGGTTTATGACTCCAGAATCGTACACGGTGTCCAATTTCTTTCTTCTCACAGCATTCGTCACTCGAGCGAAAACACACCATCAAGGCGACCACATGGCCTACCCCCCTGGGCCTGAGTCCCTCTGTCTGCGAGATGGGCGTCGAGTTCCAGCGCGAGTGGAGGCCATGCATGTATAGTTCTGGGATGTTCTCGGGCAACCAATTCCAGCCCAGTTCGGGCGGAGACCCTCAGAATCCCCCATATACCATGTGCTTAACATCCAATAAACCATCCTTTGGGTGGTACTGGGAGTGTCTAGTTGGCGTTTAACTGAAGTGGTGGTTGGCAGGTAGTATTGGAGCTTCAATGTGCTTGCCGACCGACTCTGAGACAGGCTGTTTATTGGAAAAAAGGGGAAACACCCATGTTTTGCTGCATAGATTGCTTGGGGGACCCTTCATCATCTTCATCCAACTGACTTTCAGGTTTGGAGAAGCAACTGGAAAAGGGAAAGGTCCACTGAGTGCACTGCAGACAGAGATTCCCGTAGGTCAATTTCTTCGCGTTTGCTTTTTTTTGCGATGCAAACAACTACATGCAGTATCCCAAACGGGCTCCAGTCGTACCTTCCGGTTCGGTGGAACGACCGGGGCCCGGGTGCCAGGGAGGTACGTCCAGTATGGTCAAGTCATACCTTTTGGGGAGGCACGACTGGAGCTCTAAGGTATATCCCTAGAAGTCGAACCACAATTTTTTAATAGCCTTTACCGAACCACAATTGTTTTACTGTGGGTTTTACACTACAAAACCAGATCAACCATTATAAAAATGGTCGACTTTTCCAGGGTATATCATGCCAGTTCAGCTCGGTCAGTCCTGGACCAGTGATGAGAACCCCCTTTTTTCGAACGGTCTTCGCCGCGGTCCAGCGGGGGCGTTTCGAACGAGTATGTATGACTTGATAGGGAGAATCATGGTACTAGCACCAGTAGGGTGTCTATCAAGCTTATCAAGCTATCTTGCTTCTTTGAAGAGTGTAAAGAGTTCATCTGAAGGAAGTGTGGCACAGTGATTTTTCCGACCCTGTGGCTTCCTCGTCTTTGCTGTGGCGACCTCGGTAACTGGCGGTAACTGAAGTCCACAACGAGCAGTGGGAAGATGAGATGTTTCGACAGTTTAAACTAAATCTATAGTGATGAGTTGTCTGAGTTGTTTCTTCCCTGCTTTCTTTTTTTCTGGTTTCGGTGCACCGGAAGAGATCTGAATTCAATACTGAGAGTGAATGCATTTGGGTTTTGTTCAGCCATATCACTCACCATAACATTCTTCATCACCATCCCGGCTGCAACTCTGGGGCTGCAGATTCTTTGGGCTCGACTCTGCCTGCCGACTCATGCTTCGACTCCGCTTGAGGTCCCTATAAGAAGGACTCACGGCTGCAATATGGTCGACACGCCTCTCATGTCCTCGGGCCATGGCGCCTGCGACTCCAGACGATGATGCTGCAGATGTTGAAGAGGGAACAAGACAACAGGAACCATCTCTAAGACAACAGGAGGTTTTTTTTTGGGGGGAGAGGTCCCCACAAAAACAATGCATTCTCAGGTTGGGCATCTTCAGTCATTCGGCACCACCTAATCTTCTCCCAGAAGATTCAGACATTGCATCTACTTTGGCATCTCAGAAATTCCGACTTGCAGACCAAACCGAGTCGACTTCCGGCTTTGTCAGAACCGAGGAAGAGGTCTTCCCCGTCTGGAAAGAGTCCATGGCACGCCTGGCCAAGGTGCCGAATGTCATGGTGAAGTGCCTTGGCTGCGCAGGTGAAAGCGAGATGGGAGGGGAGACCACCTGGGATAGTGGGATAAGTTGGTCGAGCTGTTTCACGGTTTTAAGGACTAAAGTAAACAAATCATGGGTTGAAGGTTGAAGTACCCTTTCTTCAAAACAAATCATGGCTTGGAAACAACAACAAGAAGAAGAAGAACAATAAGAATAATAATAATAGCAACAACAACAACCAAAAAACATGAACAATAACAACAAAAAAGACAATAACAAGAACAAGAGCAAGAACAAGAGCAACAGCAACAGCAACAGCAGCAACAACACATGACATGACACAAGTAAGACAGTAGGTCGTGCATGGATCCTTGGGCAGGTTGTGTTTCATCGAAGCTTTCTGCAGGAAGATCTACTGGAAATAGTCACTTAACACTCCATGCGTGGTGCCTGTGCTGCTTCATATGCCTCATAATGTGCCTCATATACACTCACATGTTCAAACCTTTCAAACCACAAATTTTCAGTGGATGTTAGATGTTTATCCACCTCCGCCACCCACCTCTGTCCACCAACCTTCCGGCCTTCTGGTGCCCCAGCGGTTCCACCCGCGCCGGGTTCCCGGCCAGGCTCGGCGGCTTCGGCATGCGCTGGGTGGGCTTCGGCTTCGACGAGCGTCCCACGCCCGCCAGCAGCGGCTCGGCGGACCTCCGATGGCGGCGCCGCGAGCATCGTTGTTTTGGGGGGAAACAAGTCCATGTGACAGCAGCAAGGAATGATTTCAATGAAAGATACCAAGCTGAACAAGCGGGATTGAGTTTTTTGAGATCAGACATCTTGTGCGCGCTATATATGATATGTGCATCATAAATACATCAAAAAATACATCAAACCCACCCGCCGGGCATGGACGACTGCAAGAGCCATCAAAGACCTCTTCATATCGTTTCGGCACGGCTGAGCTTACCACCATGTTTCGGCACGGCGCGCGGACGGCCGTTTCGACCATCCGGAGGGGACCATCCGATCGGATTTCATGTGCCAAGATTCGGCCGAGATCGGATCTGGGCAAGATCCTTGTCACTATGCAACATGTTGGCCTTTTGATTGATATACAGTAAGCCAGCCGAGAGCCTTAGAATCATCCACCGATGTGCACAACTAGGTGAAGAGCTGGCGGACGCCTGGAGACCTTACATCTCGCACTGCCTCACCCTCTTCGGGGTCGACCGATGCCACTGGGCTCAGCGTTCGAATATAGTCCTTGCCTACCTGGACCTTCTTTCGGGGTGTCCTGGCTGGAGGTCCCTTAGTAGTGTAGGGGCTTCCATTGGTGACCCCTTTGAAGGTGCTGGTACAAATACCTTCATCTTCAGCTTGCCAGCTTGCTGACCCCCTTTTTGATGACGCTTCTTAGTTGCTTAAGGTATATACCTAGACCTTAATTCAGCCAGGGTGTCCTGGCGTTCTAGATCCGTAGGCTTCCAGCCAGGTGACCCCTTTGAGGGTGCTGGTGCAGTGAGGTGCTTGTTGAGGAACATGGATGGGTTGAGAATGTGAGCTCCGGGTTGCATGTTCCACCCCCCCGAACCTCCCCGCAACCGAGCTGTCGTTGTCCCTCCAAGCCGGTCCAAGCCACAACCCGAAGGTCAACACCGAACTCCCTGGTTGTTGATGTACCAGCAGTGCCATGGAGCTTAGGTGCTCTCCATGGAGGTAGGAGTTGGGTGCCCCTTCTGTCACATCCACGAGCCCTGACACGGACCGAACAATCAATAGACCTCCGGACATCGACCAGATGACCGGGCGGACCAAGGTTTTGCCACATGAGAAACCAATTGTTCTTTGAAGCTCTTTGTTCTTCAGGTTCATCTACTGTCGGCCGGATCAGTTTGTGTGCATGTTACCAGTAGGGCTACATAGTAGGGCTACATTCGCCTGACAAAGGGATTACCACGTTTGGATGAGCTGTCGCACACACTGCCCGTCGCACTGCACCTGAACATTCATCTCATTTCCAAGAAAATGTATTTCAAACCACCAGGATTCACAAGACGGGGTGGTGTGGCTCGTCCCATCCAGGGCTCGTGGATGTGACAGGAGCACTAACCTGCATACCTCCATAGAGTCCGCACCCCTAACCGACCTGCGACTGCGCCCAGCGACGTATTCCAATTATAATGGTTCCAGTGGACCTTCAGGCATTGCTTTGCCAGCCGCTCTTTTGTCCGAGGCATCATGGAGTCGAACTTCCCGATGGATCGCATCACCTGCTGCTTGGCTGGGGTCAAGCGCGGGAGTTCCATCGAATGGTTTCAGTGGCCAATGTAGGAACATAGTCTGCTCCCATGAAGTGTTTGGAGTAATATCTTCTCCTTAACAATCCGCTTGGTGATGTCATGTCCAATGTGGCGAGAAGGAGTGTGGCACCATGTCCAAGGCAGCTACACCGTTTGTTGGAATGCCCTGAAGAAGTGCGTGCGGAACTATTCGTTGGAGGACGGTGTCGCCGGTGAGTTGGGCCCGGACCAGGCGACCAGGCGAGGCAATGTGAGTAAGTGTGACATCCGGCGAGATGGTTGGATTGGTTTGAACATCCCAAACACGACCTGTCTGGGACTGCCATATATACATTGACCCCCAGTCAACCACCCCTGGGCCGTTTCTCGGCAGTCCGTCCTGGCAGTCCCAGACGGGTCGTGTTTGGGCATCTTTGACAGATTGAGGCAGGCTCCGAAGGTCTGAGGCCAGACCAGACGTTCGAGGGACTGACATAAGCTTTTGACCGATCAAGGGTGGTGGTGAACGGGGGGGTCATATTCCAGTCCCATGGATGGGCTGGGATAGATGTTGGATGGTTCGAAGTCTTTCAGAACTACCAGGGGCCCGAACCAAACCATGAAAAACAACGGTTTCACATACAAAAACCATGTGTTTTGCTAGGGAAAAGCCAGGTTTTTGATGGGCCATGTGTGGCCCCTGGTAAGACCTACTTCCGCTCCGGAGTCGCACCAGTGAAGTCGTCCAGGCCCAGTCGGTTTCAGTAGTGCAGGATGCCGGGCAGAACCAGTGACACCACCCATGCAGACCACCAAATTGCAGGCGAATGGAGCGAAGAGGAAATTAGATCATATGCACAAACAGGACATTTTTTCAAGACAACCAACTACCCTCCACAGTACCCTCCTTGCCCTTGCCAAAGACTTTCCACAACTCATATATGGATGTATATCTGTTCCTATCTACATACGGTATGGCTGGGACATGGTGTTTGTGGTTTTGTTGGATTTGGAGGTCATCGGATCTTCCTTTTCCACGTTCCACACGAGCTAAGTCTTTGAAGGCTCTTCCAGATGGGGTCTCACTGGATGCTTCACTTGCTATACGGCCCTTGCGTCTCCGACCTGGTGCCGAAAGCGGGGAACCCGCTCGTCGACGCCGCAGCGAGCTGTTCGAAGCACCGCGGGCACCGCGGGCAGCGGAACACCGCGGGCACCGAGGTGGTTCTTGGAGGGTCCTTTAAGTGGCTGAGTGCTTTGGCCTTTTCTCGCACCCCGAAGCCGCTTAAGGGTGCGGCCTATATCACCATCCCCTGTCCAGTTTCACCATCTCAACCGCTGTCGGTCTCGTTCCGTTGTCGCGTTCCGGTGGAGGACCGCCAGAAGCTGTTCGAGCTCAACGCCCGGCGTGTCTACCAGCTTTGAGTGGTTTTGCCCCTCAAAAGTCTTGGCTCAAAAAAACCACATATGGTGATTTAAATTGTAGATCTTATGATGGTTTATGTAGGACTTTGTCAAGAATGGTCTCGTGGATTTGAGCCGGACCCCCTGCCACTGCGGCGGTCGGGCCGCTTTACCGGGCGGCGAGCCGCCCCCACCGGCCCCCCCTGCCCCGGAGAGACGGGCGGCGGCGCGCCCAGGAGTTTGGGCTGTAGATGGCGCGTAGGATCAGATCGACTGTTGCATCGGTTCGGGGTCAAAGAGATCCAACCATTAACCCAGACACTCCATGGGACTGCCATATATGCCGATCAGTTGGGGTGGTTTGAGGGGTCAATTGATCGGCATATACGGCAGTCCCATGGAGTGTCTGGGTAATGGCTCAGTTCCGGCCCAATGAAATCCACACTCCCTCTTCCAGACTCCGCTCCGGGCACGTGGATGCCATGGCCTTCTTGGATGATTAGCCCGTTTGGGCTCCAGTCGTACCTCCTCAGATGGTATTTGGACCCTCTAAACCCCAAACACCTTCTTAGAAGGTACTTGGAGCCCTAGGTTAAGTAATTCCTTTAAAGGTTGTGGCATCAACTTCCACGATTTATCTTAGGGAGTGTATACGCCCTTGATATACATCCCTGGTATACCGTATCGCGTGATCAGAAGAGAGACCACTGGCGCTTTGATCTATTGAGAATCTTTGACACCAACCATTGACTTGGCAGACCTTTTCACCCACTGACTAATATACATCTATATGTATATTGTATCCCTATTGTATCCCGTTTGGGATCCGTTGTTCGGTATCCGAACCGACCCGGTACTCCAGAGGACGGGTGGATCCGATGGATCACGGTCGGCGCCTTCCTTCGGGTCCCGGAGGTCGGATCGGTGGATCCGGGGATCCAACTCTATAGACCTGGAAGGAGCCTGGAAGGACCTGGCGGAGATGGAACTGGCGTGTGGGTTTTGGGTGGTGGAACTCGGAGGAAGATTGAAACCACTCAGAAATACAAATCCACACGAGACTGGACTGGACGAGATCATTTCGGGAGACACAACGTTCGACTGGAAGAGTCGGCAGACTTCCATCTCATCCCGATGGGCGCGGCTCGGACATCGACCCCAACACTGTATCCCAGACCATCCATGGGACTGCATGGAATATATTGACCCCCCCCCCGGAAGGACCCCTGGCCTGATCGGTAGTCCTATGTCAGTCCCGTGGATGGTTTTGGATAATGGAAGAGTCACACTCAGACTGGCTACTTTTAACATGTCCATGTCCATGTCGCCTCAGCCCAAAAACATCAAAATCTTTGATATACCCAGATGCTCATGGACCTGCCTAAGTAGGGGCCAGTGTAGGGGCCGGACCCTCATATGGAGGGTTTTGAGGGACCAAGGGCTGTTTGGAGCGTCTGGGTATGTCTCAAACACTCCATGTACCCAGACACGACTTGTTTGGGACTGACTGCCGCCCCAGACAGACCCCCCCAGTCAACCACCCCTAGCCTGATCGGCAGTCCGTCCTGGCAGTCCCATGGAGTGTCTGGGGTATGGCATGTGTATATACCGATCAGTTGGGGTGGTTGCAAAAGGGGTCAATGTATGTAAATATCCCAAACACTCCATGTATGCCATATATGCCTACATTGACCCCCCAAATGTAGGCATATATGGCATACATGGAGTGTCTGGGTATTGCAATTCCATTTGTGTTTAAGTGTGCCCAGGTCCGCTCCGTTCGCCGCTCCGATTTGGTTCCTCCAACCCGAAAACCGATCCCGAAAACCCGGTCATTTCTTCCACCGGTGTGAACCAAAACGATGCCCAGTCCAGTCCTTCAAGGTGCTGGGCCACGATGCCCGGCCCGCTATCAAAATGGATTTGGTCGATCCGATCGGTCGCGAAGAAGGGTGTTTTCAAGTGGACCTGCTGACCTGATCGGTCACTGATTGCTTTTGGCACAAAGAGAATCGCGATCTGGCGCGCTCTGTGGCGAGGAAACGATACATAATGACGATAGATTGGAGATGACTGGGTGACGGGGCCAAACGCATGATGGACTGACCAAACCTCACAAGAAAAAAAAACATATATGATTTGTTCATGATTTGTATGGACTGATTTGCCCCTCCTCAAAATCAGAAATGCAGTGTGCTTGGGGCGACAGATTTGCGCCGGAGTCGCACCACCGGTCGCGGTCGCGGTTTGGTCGCCGGAGTCGCCCGATCAGCGGACATTCGACCATCGATTCCCTGGGACCATCGACCTGAAGTGTTTGGTGTCAAAATATGCCCCGGACCCCAGAGATTCGGTGTTTCCTGATTCGGTTCCTTTGTCACCGAGATAGCCCGAGCATCTCTTCCAGTCCGGCTGTAAGAGGAGACGAGCCAAACACATGAGATGAGCTGAGCTCGTTCGATGGCGATGTCGATGGGACATGCCAAGCTTTCAACTCCTTTTTCAAGCACCAAACCCAAAGACGACCAATGGGAAAAACAATTGCCAGTCCCATTCACCCCTGAGACCACCACAATGTAGGTACATATGCCAGTCCCATGGATGGTTTGGGATATTGCCTTTTTTTTCCAGACTAAGACCGAGGGTCGTAGCGTGGTGGCTCTTCGGTTGACCTTTTCTTCTGCAGAGCTGAGACCGTCGAGACACCGTGAGAGAGTATCAAAACCCCCCCCCAGGTAAGAAATGAGTCTTCGCATGTCCGGGTCCGTCTTTCTGGAAGCATGCTCAATCCCTGTATACAAAACGACAAGGAAGCAACAAAAACGATCACCCCCCGATGACTCTTGCGGAAAACCCCTGGAAAACCCTTGACATGCGAGAAGTGGTTATATGGTTGGACAGAGGTGGGAGGGCTTGGACCGCTGTAGCCTTGTGCTGCAGCATTGTCGTGCCACATGGCTTTCCAACTTGCACCAGGCATGAAAACGATAACGAAACGATAAGAAAAACGATAACACAGCGAGCCTAAACACCTTTCCGTAGGCAGGCCACCTCATGGATGTAGTTGGAATGAAGTGTGCCTAATGTTTTCAGATCTGCAAGGTTCCACACACCACATGCATGTAGTGCTAACACTATATATTATACTGTACTTATATAATGTACCTAAATTATACTACATTTGTTGCAGTTAGTCAAAGTGCTGTAAAACCATAAGGAACACAAAATAACGACAACGTCAAAAGTTGGGGAAAGGTAGATCGAGTCAGGTAGATTACACAACCTCCCGTGAGAAGCGATAGATACAGACCTCTCCACTGCCACAGACCACTTGATCCGAGCTGCCTGAGGCTGGTCTTCTGGTTTATTCACAAGCAAACGAGCCGCCACTTGGGCGGCCATGGGCGGTGGAGACAGCCGCGTGTGCACGTTCCGCAGGATTCTCCGCTTGGAGAACTAGCTTGCGGCGACTTCGGATTCCGGGTCAAAGGATCATAAGCTTCTGAGTATACAGGACTGAATCTGGTTCCCACCCGACGCTCGGATTCGGGTCGGTGCGGGACGACTGGAGATGTAGCGTGTTTGGGCTCCAGGAGGTTTCCTCCCCAGGTACGGTATGACTGGACGCACTGGCACCCGGGCCCCGGTCGTCCCACCTTCGAAACGAAGGTCCGACTGGCGCCCTCAGGGTAGGGGATAAGGATTGGTCGGATTTGGCCATCGCCCAAGAAGAGGTGTGACATGTCCTCGACTAAACCATGGCTAGCAGTGGCTCCACAAAAGCCATTGTGAATGGTGACTGTGGGATTTGAATGGATTTGAACGGATTTGAACTGTTCATTGATGTTCATTGTATTGTATTTGCAACCCAGCAACGGCAATTTTCGGCCCTCAAACGCGCCGATGCCTGCCATAGCCCGCGAATTAAATTTAGACCATCTTCCATCATCCGAAGAAATGGGTGAACGTTTGGGCAAAGGTCATATACCCATAGGGTCCAGGTACCTCCAAATCGGATGGTCGAACGGAGGTGAGTACGTATACTTCCAAATCGGATGGTCGATGTCCGAGAAGCTCGGATGGTCCTGGACCCTGGACATACGACCCCTCCAGGACCGAGGTGCCCAATAGGAAGCCCAACGGCCGGATCCGTGTGGGGTAGTCCAGCCAGGACACCAGGGTCGGAGGGTCCAGGTATCGATTCATCTGAGATCCGCTGGTCTTACCGAGGCCATCCCAATGGAGCACGGTTTGGGAAGCCCAGCGGTTCGGAGGAGCGAAGGTGAGTCTTGAACTCGTTTTGGCGGCTAATCGGGCGAAGAAGGCAGGTGATACATGGCAATGGGTCGATGCCCTTTTTTTGGTTTTGCATCCAACAAACAGGTGATGTTGGGGTGATTTTCAGGTTCCCTACTACGGATGAATCCATGTGAATCCCTAGAAGGGGGGGGGAATCATCGACGTGATTGGATTGTTTCCCGGTGCGTGGACAGTTCCTGGTCAGCACATGTCCAGTTTCTTATTGGGTCATGCGAATCCCAAGCGCTCTCAGGAGTCGAAGTTCGTCGTAGGGGCGACCCCCGAAGTTCGTCGTAGGGGCGACCCCCCGGGTCATTTCCTTTTGTTACCCAGACACTCCATGTTTCATGTATGCAATGGAATGGCCTGCATTGACCCCGAGCTAGCTACTTCAATGTAAAACCACCCCAATGTAGGTAAATATGCCAGTCCCATGGAGTGTCTGGATTAGGGAAAGACATGGAAAGAAGAATCAGGAAGAACACATGTTGGCGAAGCGTCGCGTCGATAGCTCCTTTGGCAAGCAGGGCTAAAGCAACTAGCTGTAAATTCCACAGGAAACCATGGTTTTCCAACCCCAAAAACGATGGGTTTCCTGGAGATTCCCTAAACCCTATTCTGGGATTTCTGCGATTGTTGCACACAATGCTTTCTGGATGCACACACCTTCCAGATCCAAAAGCGAGTCGTCACCCCCAGAGTGGTTGGATGGGTAGCAATGG